ATGGGGGTCCGTATCCTGCTGGTGGGGGTCCGTATCCCGCTGGTGGGGGTGCATATCCCGCTGGTGGGACTCTGTATGCTTCTGGTGGGGCTCCATATCTCACAGGTTGGGGCCCACGGACAACAACTGGGTAAATTGAGAAGAAAAGAAAAAATTAGTTACTTATTTCTTAGAATGGACAAGGAAAAAGTGAGAAGGAGGAAGAAGAAAAAAATTATGCTGAAGCAAACTAACACAGGAAGAGAATCAGGCAGAATAATGGTAAAACCAGATCCTTCAGCTACCACCAGTTGAAAACTTTATCATTTCCTGTTGTGGAGGGATTAAAATAAACATGAAAATAACCCTACAGTTAATCTCTGCATTAATTATAGCTGTATATAGAGAGATACATGTTTTACTTAATAAAGTTTGTTTTGATTATAAAAAAGTAATACATGCTTAATGAGGAATATGTATTTGGAAAATAGGAAAAAGATGAATTTTTAAAAGTCATCTATAATGTAATCATAACATACAAAAACTTAGTATTTTAATGTATTTCTTTGTAGAATATCTGTTAATATGTTTATGCAATCATGATTATAACTGTCCAATGTTTTATTTATTTTAAATGTTTTTATTTATTTCAGAGAGAGGGAGAGAGAGAGAGAAACATCAATGATGAGAGAGAATCATCTATTGGCTGCCTCCTACACCTCCCCACACTGGGAATCGAGCTCGCAACCCAGGCATGTGCCCTGACTGGAAATCGAACCAGTGACCTTTCAGTGCAAGGGATGACACTCAACCAACTGAGCCACATTGGCCAGGGCTTAATCAGAGACTTACTTTAGATACAAAGACACAAATAGATTGAAAGTGAAAGAATGAGAAAATAGATTATGATACATATGTACAGTGAAACAGTATTCAGCCACAAAAAATAAAATAAAGTGCATGCTATAACTGGGATTAACCTAGAAAACATTATGCTAGGTGTGATAAGCCAGACACAAAAGGTGATATACTGTATGATTCCTTTTATGTGATATATTCAGAATAACCAAATCCAGAGACAAGTAGCAGATTAGAGAATATAAGAGATGTTGAGAGGAGACAATGGCGAATTATTACTTAGTAGGGAATTATGGAGTATTTTATGGAGTGATGAAAAATTTTTAAACTACAGAGCTGATGGTTGCACCACATTGTGAATATACTAAATACCAATTGTACATTTTTAAATTGTTGTATGTTATGTTCTATGAATTTCAACTCAATAAAAAAATTTGTAACACCTTAGCAACATTTTAGATTTTGAGCACAGTATTACAATTTAATACCCTTTTAAAACTAGGTAACTATTAAGGTTACAAATAAGTATCCTTCAGTTGTATACAAAGCTAAGTGCCAATGACATGCACGTCATGCTCCAAGAAGAACCCAAGAAAGGGCCCACATTTTGGGGTCTGTTGGCAGCCCATTAGGAGACCCTTTGTGGTCTACCAGTAGATGGTGAACAACATTTGAGAATCAATGATCACTTCCCAGTAACATGACAGCAGCTGTGGACAGGCACAACTGTTAAAGGGCACAGGGCATAAAGCCCAGGGCTGGAATCCTTAGTGAGGTTGAAGGGCATAGTGCAAACTTGATGGCGATGCTTGTGTGAAATGGGAAGGGAGAAGTGAACAGGAGCATATGTTTTCTGCTCAGGCTGCAAACAGGAAGTGACTGTTCCCAATAATGGGAGTTGCCTAAGTATGTTCCATATCTGTATATTATTAATTAAAAGTAAGCCTGAAACTTACTGACGTGCCACTGGGTTTCAGTCTGGAAATGAAGTCACGTACTCAACCATTTTCCAACCTCCAAACCTCTGATGCTTCTCCTGCCAGTAAGGTTGGAAGCAAGCTAGCAGTGAATAGATCTTTGAACCCCTGGCATACTTTTCCACCTCCCAGGAAGAACCTTATGCCATACCTTACCTGGACAAGACCTCTGTTGGTTGCACATGCTCCCCTGCCCACTAACGATAAACAGTCCTGGAGCACCAAACCAGTAAGTTAAACTTTGAAGCGGAGTTCCTTCGGCAGCTGAAAAAAGAAATTTGGCAACTTTCTTTTTTAAGTCAAATGTATAGTAGCTATCAACCAGATAATTAACTAAGTATTAACTATCACCTTACTTGAGTGTTCAACAATGTTTCCAGGATACAAGATAAAGAATATACCTCGCCCTTGTCCTGAACTCTATGCTTCTTGAGGGCAGAGGTTGTGGCTTATCTGCCTGTTTATTTAGGGTCTAGCATAATGGCACCTACCATAATAGGTATTCAGAAAAAATTTCTAAGTGAGAAATTCTATCAAGTTGGTAAGATATATCTATTAAAGGCCAATTTAATGGCTGTGTGGTACAGAGGAAAGCACTTCTGTTTTTCTCCCTCTCTTTTGAGGGCACTTGTGATGGCATCTGAGGCCCACTAGATCAAGCATGTCAAACTCAAAGGCTAACACGGGTCAAATAAATGAGGCATGCGGCCACGAGTTTGACATGCTTGCACTAGATAACTGAGGATAATCTCCTCATCTCAAGATCCTTAAATTAATAACATCCCAAAAGACTTATTTTTACAAATAAGGTGACATTCACAGGTTCTGAGGATTAGGGTAAGGATATATCTTTGGGAGTCATTATCAGCCTACCACACTGATTTCTGGTCATATCACATATGACCAGAAGTAATGTACACCAGTTCCAGGCCTGGACCGTGAAAACTTCCCAGGTAAGATCTCCTCTCTTCCCCTCTCTGCCAGCTATCCAACTGGCCATGTGTTATGTGTTAAAGATGGCAGATACTCTATTACCCTGGGTCCCTGAAGGGCTATGTGAAACAGATTCCCCTTTTAGCCCTGATGATTGGCCTTTATATAAGCATTAATATCTACTATTGTCTTAAACCATTGATAATCTGGGGTTTACCTGATTAAATAGCTGGCATTATTTTAAGTAATTCATTATAAATCTAAAGTTGTCCTCCTTACCCCTGATATTCTCCTTTTCAATATCCTATTAGTAGCCCTTTTTGGAAGAAGTAATTATTTTATTCACTTATATATTTGCTTATTTTAAAATATATTATTTTATTGATTTTTTACAGAGAGGACGGGAGAGGGATAGAGAGCTAGAAACATCGATGAGAAAGAAACATCGACCAGCCGCCTTCTGCACACCCCCCACTGGGGATGTGCCCGCAACGAAGGTATATGCCCTTGACTGGAACCGAACCCGGGACCCTTCAGTCCGCAGGCCGACACTCCATCCACTGAGCCAAACTGGTCAGGGCTATTTGCTTATTTTTTATATGATTCTCACTAGACTAAGTTTACAAAGGCAGGGACCATGTATGTCTTATTCACCGTTGTGTTCCCAATCGTCTTACCTAGTGTTTGACACACAGTAAGTATTCAATATACATTTGTTAAAAATATAACTCAAAGACCCCTGACAAATCCACTCTGCAGAGGGGAAGGCCATCTTTCCTGTTCAATAAATCAGATCATGAAGCACAATGGACAGTTAGTTCCAAAGGCCTCAAGGAAGCCCATCTCACAAGCCCTGAGTCTTGCCAGGGGAGCAGAGGTAGGTTCCCACACCTAAGCCATGATACCATGAGACCCAGAGCAGTTCCAGACACTGGGCCAAGTTCATGTAAGTTGACTAAATCCTTCCAAGTGGCTGTGCAACTGCCTACCTTTGCAGGCCAAGGAGCAGATCTCTTTTTAAAAAATGTTTTTATTGATTTCAGAGAGAGGAAGGGAGAAGGGGGAGGGAGACAGAAACATCAATGATGAGAGAGAATCATTGATTGGCTGCCTCCTGCTCGCCCCTTACTGGGGATCAAGCCCAAAAACCAAGGCATGTGTCCTGACCGGGAACAAACTGTGACCTTCTGGTTCATGGGTTGATGCTCAACCACTGAGCTACACCAGCTGGGCAAGGAGTAGATCTTAATGTGAGCACAAAGAGGATCCCCCAAAATTGCCTCACCCTTAACCCATAATCCTAAATATAAGTCCCCCTTAGTACTATGAGGCCAAAACTAAGAAGGAACTCAAGACCCAGTATGCAATTGCCCTGAGTTCCCCAGACATCTGTAGCAAAGAGAAATTGGACTTCCAAGGGTCCCCGACCCTGGGTTCCCCATAGTTGTACTCCCTTTATCTGCCAGGACACCCTGTTATCTATTGTCAGGCTTCTGGATCTCTCTCTTCACTAAAATCTCGCTTGCTAAGACCAGCAAACTCAAATGTCCACACGCTATGTACATTTTTCAGTCTTCATTTTACCAAACATTTCTACAGGAGCTGCCACAGGTGACCACTCTGTGTTGCTTGAGACTTTCTCCTCTCTTGACTTCCAGGATAATAAACTCACTTGATTCTCCTCCTACCTCCCAGTCAGCCCCTTCTCAATCTTCATTACAGGTCACTCCCTCCTCCTTGCCCATTCCTTAAATGTTGAGGACCCTTGGAATACCATCCTTAATTCATTGAATGAGCCCATCAATCAGATGGCTCCCGAGATGACCAGTGTGCTAAAGATTTCCAAATCAGTCTCTAGATACAGTTCATCTCTGGAGCTCTGAGCTGCACGTCCACTGACCTCTTGCACTCCCATGTACCTCACACCTGTATTAAGGGATTAGGAGCGTAGGCTCAAAAGGACACAAAGTCCCTTATATAGTATTCTTGCCAAAATACATAATCTGAATATAATCATAATGAACAGACAAACCCAAATTAAGAGACATTCTACAAAACAATAAGCCTGTATTTATTTTATAATTTCAATGTCATGAAAGACAAAAAAAGGCTGAGTCCAGATTAAAGGAAAACAAAGAAGTAAGACAACTAAATTCAATGTGTGATTCAGGATTAGATCCTGCATTGCAGAAAAAAAGTGCTATTAGAATTAGGAACAGTAATGGAACAATCATTTGGATTTGAATATAAACTATATTAACAATACTGCTTCAATGTTAAATTTTCTGAATTTAATAAGTACAATGACTAGATAAGAGAATGGCCTTGAGATACACATTAGAATATTTAGGCATGAAGGAAATGATCTTTGTGACTTCCAAATATTTCAATAAAAACAAAAGGGGGGAAAAAACAAGAGGAAAAAAAAAGATAAAGCAAATGTGGGAAAATGTTAATAATGGGTAAATCTAGATGAAGGGTCCATAGTAGTTCATTGTAATATTTGTGTAACTTTTCAATCAATTTAATTTTTCCCCAAAAATAAAATGTTTAATAAGAGAGAAGGAGTAGGTTTAGGGTTTAAAGTTCAGCTCTATCACTTACTAATTGTATAGCCTTGGGAAATTATGTAACCATCAGTGACTCAGTTTCCCCAGCTATAAGTCAGGGGTAATTACTAGCGCCTACATTATAAGGTTTTTGTGAGGATTAAATAAATTGACACATGTAAAGCGCTTGGAACACTCCAGTATATGTTGAGCACTGAATAAATGCTAGCTAGTACTACTAGGTCTAAAATTAAACTCATTTCCTCTCACCCTGGCCAGTGTGGCTCAGTTGATTGGGCGTCATCCCCTGCACAAGAAGGCTGCTGGTTTGATTCCCAGTCAGGGCACATGCCCAGGTTGTGGGCTGGATCCCCAGGGGGAGACATGCAGGGGGCAGCCAAACGATGTTCCCCTCTAGATGTTTCACTTTCTCTCTCCTCTCCCCCTCTCTAAAAATCAGTAAAAATAATTTTAAAAAAACCTAATTTCCTCTCCAATTTAGACTGTCTCTTATATCCTTTTTGTTTTGTTTCATTAATCCTCACCAAAGGATATTTTTTCCTTTGCTTTTCAGAGAGTGGAAGGGAGGGGGAGAGAGGGGGAGAGAGAGAGGAAGGGAGGGACGGAGGGAGAGAAGGGGAGGGGGAGACACACCAACCATTTGCCCACTGCACATGCCCTGGTCGGGTCCAAAAGTGAACCTGCAACCCAGGTATGTGCCCTTGAATCGAACCTACAACCCTTTGGTGCATGAGCTGACACTCTAACCACTGAGAAACACCAGCCAGAGTTCTTATATTCCTGACCATGGTTTATAGAATCATGATCCAGTCAGTCTTCTAAGCTAGAAACTTCACTCCATCCTTCTTTGTGTCCTAGCACTTTGCCCATGTCTCTATTACAGCACATGTTATGAGATAACATACTTGCATGTCTGTCTCTACTAGTTTATGTTAGTCTCAACTAGATTGAAGTTGGGAATGGAAGGCAAGGGAGAAAGGGAAAGAGCACTCCAGAGAGAGGAAATATCATAAAGGCTCAGAGATGAGAGAACAAGGTACAAAGAAGTCCAGTTGGATTGGAGTACAAAAGGTGAGAGAGTGAAGAGCATGGAGTGAGGTTAGACTGAATAAATTTATATCATACAAATTATTTGTATTCAAAATTTGAAAGAGTTCTCTGGTACCATCCATTAGAGCAGTGCTACCTCTTCCCTCCTCTCATCAAAGATGGGGACTAAGCCCAAGAGAAACAAAGACAAAGCCAGAGAAAAGAGATGACAAAAAGGCATGCGAGGGGAAGAAGAGCTAAGGCAACCAGGGCTCCCTGATGTGAAGAGACTAGTCAGTGATATGAGACCAGCATTTGGATGGATAAAAGATTATGAGGTGCTATTAGTCATTCAGGTGTCTGGTTGTAAGCTCCCACTAAATTGCAAACTCCTTCCGAACAGGGAGGGACTGAATAATCGGTTTTCCCAGCAGGTTATGTTGTACTCAGCACATACTATGTAGGCTCAGGAAATGCTTGCTGCATACACATTAGTACATGTGCAACTACCAAGTGCCTACTCACAGAGACCAGAAAATCTTAACTGGGTAACAGTCCTGCTTCAATTCCACAAGCCTCAAAAACCCAAAGTGCTTAATAGTTTTATCATTATCGCTCACCAGCAGAGGCAGCTTTCATCATCAACTGGAAAAATGTGATGGCACCTCCTTTTCTGAAGGATAGTTTAAAAGTAGCCTGTCCTTCCCAGCCACCTGGGGGAAGAAACGGCACACACTCACTAAGAGGCAGGCTGGCACAGCTGGTAACTGGACTAACGCAAACACTGACAGAAACGTTACCCAAGAAGCAGGGTGGCTGTCTTTCGTTTGAATTCCAACATGAGCCAAGTCTGAATCTTAAACCTTCTGGAAGCTTTTAAGAAAAAAAAAAATACACTTCTGACTGTAAACACGTACCATCTGGAGCTGCCTGAATGGTTCCTTGAATGTAGATGGGGGCAAAGACTGGCTGTTCGAGGGTGCAGTTACTCATCAGATCAAATGGCATCATAAAAGAAAGCATGGGATCATTGACTGAGTGTGACGTCACGAAGATCACCTAAGAAAGGAAAGTAACTTTGAAAAAGGAATGCAATTTGTCCATAGTTTGAGACATAAAAATGTCTAAGGTTGTTTGCTTTGGCATCCTGGCCTGATGAAAAGCATCACCCATTTTCTTCTATCATTCTTCAACATGGAAAATCTCAAAGTGCAAATGTTCTAAAACACTTTGAAACTCAATGGTTACCCTCTCTCCATTTTAAGGAAAACAATGTAGAGTTAATGAAAATTGAAGTAGAAAGAGAAATTACCCGGTATGAAGTGAGAAGCAACGTTCCCCTCTTTGTACCATGAAAGAAATTGGATCCTGGTGGTTGCTCTGGGAAGGAGAGCTCCACATCACTACACTGATTCAAGACACTGCAGAAAAGCAAGGGCAGACAACACACAATTTAGAAGTTACATCAAGTGACAAACATAGAACTCCTGGCACAGTTCCTAGCCTGGACAAACACTCAATAAATGTTAGCTGCTGCTACTACTACTATCTTTATTGACATAAAAAGAATTTAAATTATTTTATTCCCTAACAATTCACATTTATTCTTCTCCATCTTTATCTCTGGATTACAACATTCTTTAAATTTTTCGATTGTATTTATTGAAAATCAGTCAGAAATCTTGTATCTTTTTTTATTTTTTTAATATTTTTTATAAGTATTTTTTTAAAAATATATTTTTATTGATTTCAGAGAGGAAGGAAGAGGGGGAGAGAGAGAGAGAAACATGCATGATGAGAGAGAATCATGGATCGGCTGCCTCCTGCAAGTCCCCCACTGGGGATCGAGCCCACAACCCGAATCGAACCCATAAGCCCTTGACCGGAATCGAACCTGGGACCTTTCAGTTCACAGGTCGACGCTCTATCCACTAAGCCAAACCGGCTAGGGCTTGTATCTTTTTTTAAAGATTTTTTTTTTTTATTGATTTTGAGAGAGAGAGAGAGAAACATCGATGTAAGAGCGAAACCTCCATGGGCACGTCCCCTACCGAGGACTGAACATGCAACTTAGTTACATGCCCTGACCAGGAATCAAACCAGCAACTTTTTAGTGCCTAGGACGATGCACAACCAACTGAGCCACACCAGCCAGGGCTGGATTATTTTTCTTATAAAACTACTTGTATTCTTTCTGTTTATTCACAAATGCTTATACTTCTTGTGCAGGAACTATCAAGCGCTGTGCTAAAGGAAATGTTAAAGCAGGTAAGGCATGCAGAATGCTCCAGAATCCTCTCACATGTTGCTCCCGCTGCCATTCACGTTCTCCCCTCACTCTTAACCTGAAAAACTTGGGTTCATCCATAGAATCCCATTGGTTTTTTTTCTTAGTAAAGACTATATGTGTTGATTAGTTCAACGTCTTTCCTAATGATCACTAAGGACAATGTCTGCCTTCTTTGCCACTGCAGTCTTAGCAAGTGGTGGGTGCTACTAAATATTTACTGAGAGAATGAACAACTGAATTACATGAATACGGGTACTAACACAAGCAATATATGACAACATAAATGGCACAAAAATGGCACAACAACTAAGTGAAAGGGGAGGTTAGTTTTGGTTGAAGTAATTAGGAATGACTTTATAGAAAGATTGAAATATGAGCTGATTCTTAAGGGGTGAATAGTGTTTCAAGATCTTTTTTTTGGTTAATTCTCACCCGAGGATATTTTCCCATTGATTTTTAGAGAGAGTGGAAGGAAGGGGGAGAGACACAAACATTGCTGTGAGGAACACGGATTGGTTGCTTCCGGCACGTGCGAAAGGAAAGAAAGAAACATGGATTTATTGTCCCACTCAGTTAGGTATGCACTGGCTGATGCTTGTATGTGCCCTGACCGGGGATCGCACCCACAACCTCAGCGTATGGGGGCGATGCTCCAACCAGCTGAGCGACCCGGCATTCAAGGGGCTCAGGGGGGCTCAGTGCACCTGAGCACAGCACCTGGTGTCAGGACCGCACTGCCAGGCGACTCCAAAGGACACACGAGGGCCACCCCCGCGGAGAGTGGTGTGGTTAAGAGGGGTCAGGCGGCGGACAAGCAGGACTCTGAGAAACTGGGGGCCCGGGAATTAAGGGAGGGGAGTTGCGTGTGAGGTGGAGGGGCAAACAACCAACAACCAACCAACAACCGACTCCCTCCAGACAGACAGCCTGAGCGCGGCCAAAGGCGGGGGAGCAGCAACCCTGCAGGCACTGAGCAAAGCGACCTGCAAACCCTAAAGCGCCCCGCGGCCCGCCCCGTCCGCCAAGGGAGCGCCATTCTTCCCAGGCGTCTCTTCTCCCGGTCCCAGCCTTTTCCATAAACAGCAGGCTTCTCCCTGGCTGGGGCCAAAAAGTAAGGGGGCTTTGGGAAGTTCTGAAGACAAGGAGCGTC